GCCTAGGCCTCAAGCTTGGAAAATTCCTATTCCACCCCTCTCCGAGAGTAAGAAGGGTTTCTTACTTCTCCCAGGCTTTATCCTCCAAGGTGAGACACAAGTATGGAACTGAGCATGGCTGCTATTAAAAGCTAGGAAGTCTACCTCCCACATGGTCAGCTATTGAGCATGGGTAGCATACGTTAACATGTGCAAGGAAATACATTTTCACACGAGGAAATACTCTTTGGTACGAATCCAGACCTTTTTGCAATCAGGCCTGGATCAGCTTTTTTCCTTGAGCACCGTCAAAGGGCAAACCATGACCCATTCAATCTTATTCTAAAAACCTCCCATTTTTTTGCTAAAACGTTTGTACAAAGTATCTCTCATGTAGCTCCTCCTCTGCATCCTACTGTGGCTCTGTGAACATTGAACTTGGTTCTGTCAACACTTCAGAAGTGTTGACAGAACTTTTGAACTTCTTGTGCATTTAATATAGATCACAAGTGCAGTGTCAGGCTCCTGCAGACTCTCAGTATAGCTGTCTGTCCATGCCTCCCGTATGAGCAGACAGTTACTGAAGAGCAGGAAGATCAGTCAGCTACGAGAGTGCTCACTAGCTCCCTCACAGTTCATTGAGAACTACAAATGATCTGTTTTAGTGGCAAATGAAATTTGTAGTCCATTCATTCGCTGTGTTTACATGACACGGTTGTGTGAGCAGAGCACCTCACAGCCACACTTTTTTAAAATTGTGACAGCAGAGTTCGGGAGAAGAACCCCGGCCTACTTCCACAGGGGGAGGATGGAGGGGTGCGGGTGGGGTGGTGTGGTACTGCTGGAGCATGTTACACGTTACTCCCTAACAGTGTTAATTTGGTCGAATAAAACATTTTCATTGAAGAAATTACACTATTTTAGTTGACTAAAATACGACTAAAACTAAAACAATTCAGATGACTAAAATATGACTAAAACTGAAATGGCATTTTAGTCAAAAGACTATGACTAAAACCAAATTGAAATTTGACATAAAAATGAACACTGGTTATATATCACAGCAGCTAAACCTGTGTCTGTAGTGCATGTTCAAATCTTAATACCATAAATAATAAGTTATTAGATTTTTACTTCTGGAGTTTGAAAATTCTAGAGAAATGGCTAAATAACGCATTACAATTTAACTGGATTTTAGTCTACTAAAATGATTTTAGTCAAATAAAAGGTACTGGAGATTTTAGTCAACTAAAATTTAGGAGATTTTAGTCAACTAAAATGTACTGGAGATTTTAGCAGACTAAAATATGACTAAAACTAAAATAATTCAGATTACTAAAATACAAATAAAAGTAAAATGGCATTTTAGTCAAAAGACTAGGACTAAAACTAAATTGAAATTTGATGTCAAAATTAACACTGCACCCTGAAATATGGGTGTAACGTATAACATGCTCCCAAAGGTGAACTTATCCTTTAATGAGTTCCAAGAACCACATTTTTTGGTAAGTACAAAAATCCTATTATATCAAACAGTCTGCATTGAACATAGCAACCATCCAGATTATCCCTTTCACATTCTTAGTACAGTGCATTTCCGAAAGTCTGCAATGTGGAGCCAAATACAAGTCTCCAAAAAAACAGATCATTGTTGAATATCATTAGTTCTGTTGAGCTCCTAAAACTGTCACTTCAAGCAACTTTATAAGGCCCATCTTCTATTTTAGGTTTATTTGGGTCCTTTAATGAACCTGGAATAGATCAGTACAGACATCCACATTTATAGCCTGAGGTCTCACACATTTTTTCACACAGCTGGGTAACACATAGAATCACACATAATGTGGTTCTCACAATTCTTAATATTAGAATCATGTTACTTTCCCTGATCAATGAAGTTACATTTGGCTTCAAGTATTGCACCAATTTTTTTGTACAACAGAAGCTGTGTTCACACAGCAGTAATAAATGAAGAAACATTAATGAAAGCTACAGGAGGTAGCAACTTTAGCCAGGATTTTTTTTTTGCATATTTTGTTCTTCCGTCTGTTTTTCAGTAACTGACTGTGATTTATGGACTTTGAATTAATAACACACATTGAGCCTCAAATAAACTTTCTTAAGCATAGTTGTGACTGGAGGGAATGACAAAATTGCTGCAAACAACTGGTGTATTCTCTGAAGCAATTTACATTTCATCATAAGAAGCTTAGAAAATTCCTGCATAAAACACTTTCTATCAAATTCATCAGATTATGTAATGGAACAATAATTCACACATTGACATATGGAACACAGTTTGTAAAATGAACTTTAAAATTTGGAAGTTAACTCTCTGAATGCAAAGCTGCAGAAGGATACATATCAACAAAGAGTTAGTGTAGATGTTCAGAAATTTTTGATGGTCAGCCAGATGTTAAAAGTACTGTAATGGTAAAAGTTTGTTCATTAAGGTTAGGAAGTAGGGTTGAATGTAGTACGTCATCCACTTCAATTGGGACCAGGTACCCCACATGCACCCAGGAGTGTGTTGAATGCTGAATATTCTATTCTATTCCCACTATTACTTTATAACAAAACAACATTTTATTTACCAGAGGAGTAAGTATGAAGAGTCTTCATTTGCAGAAACCATAATTCCTTTTTAAACAGTCACTTTAACACCCTAAAGTAATTTTATGTTCAATGTTTTAAATATGAAGTTTTTAATAATACCTTATGATCCTGCCATGTTCTTTTTAAGGGACTTTTTGTTATAGGATGACAACCCCCTGCCTCCCAGTTGCTCTCCTGCAAGGACACTCACTTTTTATTTTTTAAAAAGAAACAAACATTCTTGCCAAAACCATTGCACAGAGCAGCCCCAATCCTCCTCTTCTGGGTCCCTAGCCAGCAGTTTGGGCTCCCCCTACCCCTGCTGGATGTCACCAGAGCAACTCATGTGTGCCTGCTCCTGAGCCCAGCTCTGTGTGTCCATAGGACACACAGTACAGTGCTCACCCCCCCATGAGTGACAGCAGTGGGAGTCAATCTGAGCCAATGAGGCGTGAGAGAACTGAGACAACCTTGGTAGATTGCTGGATCGAAATCAGGCTGTGTATTTAAGGGGGTCTGCGGGTAAGCTGCATGCAATTGCTGCATATAATTCATTAAGGTAAAAAAAAACCTTCTGCCTTCACAGCCACTTTAACAAATGCACCCAGTGAAGATTATATGTGTTGTATACAACATATATATATATATATATATATATATATATATAAAAATGGCATACCATAATAACTACAACTGAAAGGAATGCAATTAATGAACAGATCAATGCATGAAAATAAATAAAAACTCATAATAAAAAATGTTGAAATCAAAAAGGTGCATAAACGAAATGCATCATTAGTTCATCCATCAAACAATACAGTGAAAAAGAGATAGTATATAATAAAATAATCAGAAATCCATTAACCCATGCAATGTGTAAACAAACATCTTCCACAAGGTGAGGAATGTTATAGCAAGTGTTCAAGTGCCTGTGTTTCACACCGTTCAGGAGTGGTATAACTCACTCACCAGGGGCTTGCCTCGACACTCATCTCTAAGGCTTTGGCTCACTGATCGAAATCGCTAGACAGCTTATGTCTTGGGTAACACTTCCTTGTATCTAGATCTGCAAGGTGTTTTATGTGCTGATCACTTAACCCTCCACAGAAGACAGTATTTCTGGCTCTTTTTACTCACAGCTGTTTACAGTTAACCAGAAGTGAATATTTAGCCCATCTTGGACTTAAAGGTCCTCTCTCAATGCCTCTGTTTGCCTTCAAAAGTTTCAGATGGAATCCATTTTACATCAATATAAGGGATGCATATGTTCACATTCTCATCATTCCAGATCATTGGCATTTTCACTGCTTTGTTGGGGGCGACAGCCACTATCAGTTTGTGGCTCTGTTCTGTGGCTTTGGCGTGGCCCGATAGTTTTTACATAACATTGAACCTTTCAATGGAACATTAACAAGGTGTGGTACAAATCCAGTCTGCCACTGGACAAGTAATTTGGTTATGTCCTTGAACCAAGACATCTCTGTCAAGGTGGTTTCTGTCCTTGTGTGGTTACAGACCAGGTTCTTTTTCCCCTTACAATGAACAGTTTGTATTGAAAGATGCCAGTCTTCTGTGTTGAGGTAAAGTTTTGGACCCTTTGTCTGTTCAGGGTTGTTGTCCCCAGTCAGAATCTTCACTTCTAAAATTTGACAGATTTTTTTCTCCAGGAAGTGGGGTTTAACAGCGAATACAGCAGATGCCCTTGTGGCACCGTATCAGTATGCCCTGTTCTATACTTCCACTGAAGCCTTTGCCTTGTCTACTGCCAAGTAAAGAGATTGATAACATTCCAGTCATTCTGATAGCTCTCAATGGCTTTACAGAATAGTACACTGACCTGTATGTGAGTTTCACCATGTGCCTTTTCAGTGGGCCATGTGTTTTTTTTCCTTCAGTTGTGGTTCAGTTGGCCCCTAGTACCATCAAAGGTCTGCTGTTTGCCCTGTGCATTCTTTTCTAATGCCCTCTTGCTAATCATTCGCTGATTCATACTGTTATACAAGGGGTTGCACACATTGCTTTGTTAGGACTCTTCTCCAATCTTCTCCAAAAAGTAAATATACTTTTTATATTTCATAAAAGTCTAATTTAGTTTATATAATATCAGTGGATTATTAGTTAACCCTTAAGGTTCCCTCAAGCTTTAACCAATCTCATTTTATGGTATCCATTAAGCCTCATATCCAAGTTAAATCAAATGTGTTTTAAAACATAATTTGTAATTTAATGTAGGAATCTGTAGCATGCACTAGGCATCTGTAGTATCCACCATGTTTGCTGTTTTTCTTAAAAACAACAGTTTTTAATTTTAAATAGGAATATTTTAACTCCGTAAATCATTTTAGGAAAAACAAATGCTTTCTTAGCAAAAGATATCTTGGCCCGTTTAGCATATTTCTTAACCCTTTTGAATATTTTGTCTTCAGGTATGCAAGTATGATTTTGTGGAGATAAGGAGTGGGCTATCTTCAGATTCCAAGTTACATGGGAAATTCTGTGGAACAGAAGTGCCTGAAGTCATTACTTCGCAATACAACAACATGAGAATTGAATTCCGTTCTGACAATACAGTTTCAAAAAAGGGCTTCCGTGCACACTTCTTTTCAGGTATGGTAATACCTTCCTTTACTTTTTGCTTCTCTATTTCAGTCGTATTTCATCTGTAATTTTTATACAGCCATACAAAACAAAGCATCTCAGTGGTGGTCGTGCACTACACCTACTTTCCTCTGCATTTAATACAAACGCTTTTACATGCCAGAATTAAAGAAGGAAAAGGGTTTGTATTGTGAACAACAACAAGCAATAAGGACTGAGGTTTTTATTGAAGGCAGGTTAAAATATTAAAGATAAGAGCAGGGTGTATCTTCTGAATACTTAAAACAGATTGCAAAAGTGCACATATGAAAAGACTGGTAATCAGATTTGAGCCACTGTCATCATTCTCTATATAACTCAGATTAAGATTTTCTTTTGTGGCACTCAAAAAGTACCACAAACCAAAAACACTATTTAATTATTTTTTTATAATATTCAAGCCAAACTCACCCATCTATCCATGTCTTAAAATTTTATTATGTTGGGGAATCACTTTGAAAAACATCCCCTAACATTTATGACTGTGGGCATGTTAAGTAAGAGCAAATGATTCATGTAGAATTTACTTCCTGGAATCCATCTGCCTTTAGTACAGGCATGCAGGCAGGAGGATGTGCTTAGCTGAGAAAACCCCTCCTCCCCTCCTGAAGACTCCTGGGATGTATTACATCCTTTGCTTAGGACTGGAAACCAGGAAGCAATTGGAGAAATGTAAAAAACAAAGTTTAAAACAAGTAAATATGATATACTTTCCCATCTATTTACTAATGCTAGCAGCATACTGAATACAAATAGTCTTTGTTGATCAAGAGAGTGAGGTTCCACTTTAAAGCATTTACAAAATATTTTTTGCAGCAGAGGAAGCATTTTCAGTCCAGAAAAGGAGGTTAGAAGCACAGTGGATTTCTGGCAATATCAGCATGTATTTTTCTGTATTTTAAGCATTTTTAAAGAGACAGATCATGGGAAAATGTACATGTATTGCAGGGATTTGCTGAGTACGTTTTGCCAGATATACACTTTAGCTCACCTTTTTTCCTACAAAAACCTAACCTCTGGTCTGGATAGAAATATACAAATGAAATGCAAATATGTTTCTATTTGTAGCTGTCTCATATAAAGTAACTTCTTATTTACTAGCCTAAAGCACTCTTAAAAGCATATTTGTAAAATAATGGCTTAAATCAAAAATGCACTGCTGGTGATTCAGTCACTGTCAATTCAACACAACACATACAGTTGTGGCCAAAATTATTCAAACCCCCACTAGAAATTGAGTGTTTTGGCCAGTTTGACATTGCTTTTGATCATTCAGTCTCAAAATACGCTTACATTTACATTAAAGAGGCAACTTGTAGGTCAGACAAATATAACATAACAGTTATAATGAAATAACCACAAATGTCTTTTCTGTGCTCACAGCATTATCAGTTTTTATTCAACCCCCAAGTGACATTCAATCTTAGTACTTAGTACAGCATCCTTTTACAGTTATAACAGCTTTTAACTAAACGTGAAGCATAGCTTGACAACACCTGTCTTGCAGCGATCTACGGGTATCTTCGCCCATTCCATTCATGGGCAAAGGCCTCCAGTTCAGTCACATTCTTAGGCTTGCGCACTGCAACTGCTTTCTTTAAGTCCCACCAGAGGTTCTCAATCGGATTTAAGTCTGGTGACTGCGATGGCCACTCCAAAATGTTCCAGCCTTTCCTCTGCAACCATGCTCTAGTGGACTTGGAGGTATGCTTGGGATCATTGTACCCTGTTAACTATAAAAGGTCCCAACGTCTCCCAAGCCTCAGGTGTGTGACGGACTGCATCACGTTTCCATCCAATATCTCCTGGTACTGAAGAGAATTCATGGTACCTTGCACACGCTGAAGCTTGCACTGTACGCTGCTGAAGCTGATCCAATGATTAGCTATTGCAGAAGCAAAACAGCCCCAAAGCATGATTGACCCTCCACCATGCTTCACAGTAGGCAAGGTGTTCTTTTCATCATAGGCCTTGTTTCTTCCTCCTCCCAAACATAGCGTTGATCCATGGGCCTTCAAACAGTTCTAAGTGGCTTTTGTTTCATCAGTCCACAGAACAACTATCCCCACCACTTTTGTGGTTTGTCCACATGGCTTTTGGCACTTACTGCAGTCGACATGAATTCTTATTCTTTGGAGACAGCAAGGGGGTACGCCTGGGAGTTCTGGCACGGAGGCCTTCATTACGCAGTGTGCGTCTTATTGTCTGGGCTGAAACTTCTGTACCCACATCTGACAAAATCTTTTCTCAGTTCCTCAGCATGTCACACGGGGTCTCTGGGGTCCACTCTACGCTCACATTCAGGTAGCGCACAGCAGTCGAAGTCAGCATCTTCTTTCTGCCACGACCAGGTAGCGTTTCAACAGTGCCCTTTGCTTGAATTTGCGAATGATGCTTCCTAAGGTGTCTCTTGGTATGTTTAACATCTTTGCAATCTTCTTATAGCCATTGCCCTCCTGTGAAGAGAAATCACCTCTTCTCTTGTCTTCCTGGACCATTCTCTTGCCTTCACCATGTTTGTAACCACACCAGTAAATGTCTAGAAGGAGCTAGAGTATCACAGTTTGTCATTTTAAGCTGCCTATTGGTGCCTAATTGGTGCTGCTCTTATTATTTGATGATGTGCTTTCGGTGAAATATGTTGTTTGGAGGTGTTTTCAATACCTGATGTATGAACCTCTGTTCTTCAGAGTGGTAGTCTTTAAGGGGTTGAATAATTGTGGCAATGAAGAAACCACATAAGAACAAATATTTACTACTGTATTACATAAACAATTGATGTCATTTTTAGTTGCATTTTTGGGTAGTTACAACGTCCTTGTAGGATTTGATTCTGAATACAATTCCAAAATGTACACTATAGTCCCTAAACCCCTTTACAGCATTGGGGGTTGAATAATTTTGGCCACAACTGTATGCACATGGAATATTTGGAATGATTGATTGTTTGTAACTAGGTGTCATTCTAGACTCCAATCTGTCTTTCCAGCCCCAGATCCAATCGACAAATTCATGCAGACTCCACCTCCGCAACATCTCCAAAATACGCACGTTCCTAACTCCTGAAACTACAAAGCAACTCATTCACTCCCTTATCATATCACGACTTGACTACTGCAACTCCCTCCTCGCCGGCCTACCCCAACACAGGCTATCCCCGCTTCAGTCTATCCTGAACTCAGCGGCCAGACTCATCCACCTTACCAACCGCTCCGTATTCGCCACCCCCCCCCTCTGCCAATCCCTCCACTGGCTTCCGATTGCCCAACGCATAAAATTCAAAATATTAACATTGTCGTACAAACACTTAACACTGCCCCAAACTATATCACCGACCTGATATCCATCTACCACCCAAAACACACTCTCCACTCCTCACAAGACCTCCTACTCTCCAGTTCCCTGGTCTCCTCCTCCCATGCCCATCTCCAGGACTTCTCCAGGGCTTCCCCCATCCTCTGGAACTCACTACTCCAATCCATCAGACTGTCACCTTCCCTCCTCACCTTTAGGCGCACCCTGAAAACCCATCTCTTCAGAGAAACCTATCCCGCCCTCACTGCTGATCTCCTCCGCTCTTTCCATCACTCCATCCCCCACAGCTATTTCCTCCTGTACCATTATCCCCTCCCTCCTAGGTTGTAAGCTCCAAGGAGCAGGGCCTTCAAACCCCTCGTGTATTGTATTGTATTGTTACTGTACTGTCTCGTGTACTGTCTCCATTATAATGTACAGCGCTGAGCAAACCATTGGCACTATATAAATACTGTATAATAATAATAATAATAACTATAAATATGCCCTTTAATCCTTTTGCTTCCAGGCCTGTATGTCCTATGGACCTACAGCACAGCCTCTAGCTGGCCAGGTCCTCCTGTGCTAAAAAGCTTATGGTCACTCCTCCTCTGCTAAAAGCTCATGGTCACTTCAGACGCTGCTGAACAAACTGATGAGCCAATGATTAGAGCTATTTACCTAAAATGTGACAAATCCCCACCCTCAAAGAAAAAATGTAAAAAAATAAAAATGTACCTCTACAGAAAACAATTAAGTTGTAAAAAACAAAACAAAAACAACATAGTATGGGTAGATTTACACATGTGTCTAAATCTCCTTCAGATCACGCTCCAGTGGCTACTGACAGGTGGTGCCTCCTCAACGCTTGTTTTAACCCCATTTGACCAACAAATGTGCCACAACCGCATGCATTGCATGAGGTTGCGGGGTGTTTGTTGCACTTCCCAGTTGACATGAATGTGTCATTTTCAGTGGACAGCATCGCTACACGTTGGCTTCACTTTGCCATGGGCACAAAGCATCATGGCATCAGCACCCTGTCCACTACCTATTACAGCTTAAGGAGGGGCATTTAGCAGGTGGCAAATCTACCGTGCATTTTTGCCATCCCCAACCACAAGTCTAAACAAGGCTTAAGGCCTTGTTCACGTGGGGCATGCTACAGCCAGGCCATGTTAAGCGGCACAGGGATGCATAGGTGTTCTGTGTATCTCCATGCAGGCAGTCACATTGATGTCAATTGGGACACAGTAGCTGCAAGGGAATGCACAGGGTGTCCCATGCATTCTTGTGCATGCAATCTCATCCATATCAGTTTTGACGGAGTGGCTGCATCAAGACAGCCACTGCTCTAACTTGACATCCACGTGGGTGTATGTTCCTGAACTCATACTGTCTGCATTTGGGGCCATGGAGCTACATCTGCACAGATGTCAGATCTATGCTTGCAGCCACTGCATCCCAGTTGGTGTGATTATGACTACCTGCACAGGGATACACAAAACACCTCTGCATTTCTGTGCAGGTAAAGACGGCCCTCCATTCATGTACGCATTAGTACATCACATTGAACGAGGCCTTAGTAGGAATTTAGCAGGTATTTTGTAAGGTATGTTGTGGTTTTGTGTGCAAATAAGGATTTTAGTGTTTTTTCTAGCAAAAATAACAGTTTG